AAAAAAAAAATTTTATAAAGATACTTGTTGGATTTAGGGCCCACCTAGATAATCCAGAATGATCCTCTCATCTCATTATCCTTAATTACACCTACAAAGATACTTTTACTTTTTTCTTTGTTTTAAGTTTGTTACTTTTTGACAGAAAAGAGAGTAAGTAGGGGAGGGGCAGAGAGAGAGGGAGAATCCCAAGCAAGCTCACTGTCAGCACAGACCCCAATGTAGGGCTTGAACTCGCAAACTGTGAAACCACGATCGGAGCTGAAACCAAGAGTCCAACGCTCAACCTACTGAGCTACCCAGGTGCCCCAAGATCGTTTTTATTTTCTTTTTTCCTTAAAATTGTTTAATGCTTATTTTTAAGAGAGAGAGACAGACAGAGTGTGAGCAGGGGAGGGGCAGAGAAAGAGGAAGACAGAATCCAAAGCAGGTTCCAGCTCCAAGCTGTCAGCAGAGCCCAATGCAGGGCTCAAATGCATGAACCGTGAGATCGTGACCTGAGCCGAAGTTGGACACTTAACCGACTGAGCCACCCAGGCGCCCCAGATCATTTTTCCAATAGGATAATGATCACAGATTCTAGGGATTAGGACATGGACATTTCATTTTGGGGGCTACCTTTCAATGCACTACACTAAATGAAAACTGAAGTATTGATCTCCATACCCTTTATTTCTCCACCCAAGCTAACTTAACAGAAACCTCAAGAGAAGTGAACAATCTCGCTGAACATGGGTGCAAAGCTAGGGGACGAAAAAGTAATGGCTAAGCATAAAAGTTATCAAATAAACTTGTGAGTATTTTAACCTCCTCCCTGGCATACTGCGACGCAATTTGCTATATTTTCTCTACGTGGTGAAGAGAGAGAGAGACCTATTCCTCAGAATTCGTGTCATCCAGCTGTCCCTCGTTTTCTTATTCAACTCCATGAACACTTGGTTAGGTAGGATGTAGACTGGATATGCCATTTGTTTGTGGTTTCTAAAGTTTAATGCAAATAAGGGAATGATAGCATAAGTTGTTAAAGCTTGCCATGATACTTGCTTGAAAGTCAGAGCACAAATTTGTCTGAATACAATAGTACAGTGACCTGTTCGGTGATCTTGAGGCCAGAAGACTTGCCTGCCAGCTGGCCTCCGTAGGAAGGTTTCCAGGAGGCCCGCACAGAAGCGGGGGAATCCCTGCCCAAGGCTTGGGCTGTCCTTGTGGGTGGAGAGGGAATGTACCTTGTGCTCCTGGGAATCTCCCTATGTTGGACTTTGAGATAGGGAATGACTGATAGGCCAGGCTGGATCTAGTCTCACAGCCAGAGTGAGATGGATGGCCATTATAACAACAGAGAAGGGGTGCCTGGGTGGCTCAGCCCATTAAGCATCCGACTTTTGATCTTGGCTCAGGTCATGATCTCATGGTTTGTGAGATCGTGCCCTGAGTTGGGTTCTGCGCAGAAGAGTGCAGAGCCTGCTTGAAATATTCTCTCTCTCTCTCTCTCTCTCTCTCTCTCTCAAAATAAATAAACTTAACACACACACACACACACACACACACACACACACACACACCAGTTAGGAACAGTCATTAGACTGTGGGTAGTTTGTAAAAATAAATTGAAGTACTATCAGTTTTTTTGAGATTCAATAGAAATCAATGTTCTATTCCAATGTACCCCACAACCCTCTGAAAAAAAATCCATTGTAAAAAACAAACCAACAAAACCCAATAATCCCATCCCCCAAAGAAAACCCTTGTAAGCATTTTGTACACTCCTGTCTTTAAAGTACTTTTATGTAGGAGCACCTGGCTGGGTCTGTTGGTGGAGCATGCCATTCTTCATCCTGGGGTGGTGAGTTCGAGCCCCATGTTGGGCATAGAGGTTACTTAAAAAAAAAAAAAAAGACAACTTTAAAGTACTTTTATTTAAATAAACCAGCATTACTGCTGAAAGATTGATCTCTGTAATGACCCTTGTCTGCCTGGCCTTTCTTGTACAGGAACCAATAGAACGTCTAAAGGAAGAAGTCTCATTGGTAAGATTGATAGCTCATCTCAAATCACTGGGAAAGGAGTTACAGTGGAACCAGGCTTTTCTGTGGATGAGTTTTCTACCTCCGTCCTCACTGGAAAATTGACTACTGTCTTTCTTCCAATCGTCTACACAATTGTATTTGTGATAGGTTTGCCAAGTAATGGCATGGCCCTATGGGTCTTTCTTTTCCGAACAAAGAAAAAGCACCCTGCTGTGGTTTACATGGCCAATCTAGCCTTGGCAGACCTCCTCTCTGTGATCTGGTTCCCTTTGAAGATTGCCTATCACATACATGGCAACAACTGGATTTACGGGGAAGCCCTCTGCAAGGTACTCATTGGATTTTTCTATGGCAACATGTACTGTTCCATTCTCTTCATGACCTGCCTCAGTGTGCAGAGGTATTGGGTCATCGTGAATCCCATGGTGCACCCCAGGAAGAAGGCAAACATTGCCTTTGGTGTCTCCGTGGGGATATGGCTGCTGATTCTGCTGGTTACCATCCCCTTGTATGTCGTGAAGCAGACTGTCTACATTCCAGCCCTTAACATCACAACCTGCCATGATGTTTTGCCTAAGGAGGTGCTGGTAGGAGACATGTTCAATTATTTCCTATCTCTGGCCATCGGAGTCTTTTTATTCCCAGCCTTCCTCACGGCCTCTGCTTATGTGCTAATGATCAGAACACTCCGATCTTCTGCTATGGATGAAAACTCGGGAAAGAAGAGGCAGAGAGCCATCAAGCTCATTGTCACCGTCCTGGCCATGTACCTGGTCTGCTTCACTCCCAGTAACCTTCTGCTTGTGGTGCATTATTTCCTGATTAAAACCTGGAGCCAGAGCCATGTCTACGCCCTGTACATTGTAGCCCTCTGCCTCTCCACCCTCAACAGCTGCATTGACCCCTTTGTCTATTACTTTGTTTCACAAGACTTCAGGGATCATGCAAAGAATGCACTCCTTTGTCGAAGTGTTCGTACTGTAAAGCGGATGCAAGTATCCCTCACATCCAAGAAATTCTCCAGGAAATCCAGCTCTTACTCTTCAAGTTCAACCAGTGTTAAAACCTCCTATTGACTTTTGCAGCCCCTCCGTTGGTTGTTTTACAGGAGGATTTGGAACCTGCTTCGTGTTATGGGTATGTTTCTGTTGTTTCCTGACCAAGTGGGTCTCACCACATACCACCATGTATATGCAACATCTCTCAGGATTGCTGGAAGCTTCCCTGTTTGCATGAGGAAAGTCCCCCAAATTAATACAGATGTCAGTTTTAGACTTCTTCTCAGATGCTCCCGGAAATGCAACCAACAGAAGCAAACTTTTCAGACGACAGTGAAAACACAGAGACCCAATGACTTGTACAAACTAGTGTTGCGTGAAGACAGAGTTCTTAGCTGAGACTACGTTTCTTTTACATCTGGGCTCAGTGCCAGCCCTGTTAGGGCTTCAGTGCCCTCAGAGATGATCAGACCAACTGACTGACTGTACAGATGAGGAGTCTAAAGAGGCGAAGAAGCTACTCGCAGTAGGGGAGCTTCCGTTCCAACCAGTGGCAGCCAGTTAGTGTTGGACAGTACAGTGAGAATGTTCAGTGGAGTCCTCCTCCCACCTCCTCGTGGCTCTTGTTTACAAATGCAGGTTCGTCAGACTCAGGAATGAGAGCTCAGGGTCTGGGTCAGAAACCTGCGTTTTAATGAGCCTCTGCTGCATGTGCCCACACACACCAGCCTTTGAGAACCATGGGTCTGGGTGCTGCTTCTACTGACAAGGTGCCACAGGAGAAGCATATAGTGCTCTGGGTGTCTTTTGCAAGCAGCTTGTGATGACGTCTCTTTGTTGTCTCATCAGGGCTTTCAGTCATTTATCAGTCCTTTGAGGTTTTGGGTGTGCCCTTACCACGACAAGGAAAATACAGTGCAGATCTTAAAGGTGGAAATACAAATTGTGTGTAACTGTATACTGACTCAGAATCTTCAGGTAGTGTGAGTGACAGATGGTTTCAAAGTAAGGATGGCATTTGCCACTTAGTATTTTTCGTAATTATAGTTGGACTATTTATTGTCAGTTTTCTTCACTTGCTACCAAATATGACATTGTAATGCCTTCACTGGATTTGAACCACATCTGTTTGGGAAAGAATGCTAAAGAGATGTGATTTACAGTATATTTAGGGGGCTATTTACCCCAAACTGAATTTGTAACTGTTGTATTTGTGTGTTTTTTTTTTGAAATAATTTTATTGTAGAGATTTATAAATAACGCATGACCCTGTTTTTTACAACTTATTTTTGAGTTGTGTGTTTTGTGGGTTATTTCTGAGGGAGGGCATGGGAGAAGGGAAACCCCAGCGTTGCTCTTATAAAAAGAAATTATGCTCACACTGTATTTCTTAGATAAACAGGGCCACACTCTGTATATTGCTTGGTGACAATTGTTTTCACTTAAGGTTTTAGCATTTTTTCCACGTTGTGTCTATAGGCTGACCTCCGTTTTTTTAAGGGATACAGACTTTGGGGTGCATGGATGGCTCAGTGGGTTAAGCGTCTGACTCTGACTGGGGTCATGATCTCGCGGTTCATGAGTTCGAGCCCTACGTTAAGCTCTCCACTGACAGCGTCGAGCCTGCTTTGGTTTCTGTGTCTCTCTCTCTGCCCTTCCCCTGCTCGTGCTCTATCACTCTTTCTCCTTCTCTTTCAAAAATTAAGTATTAAAAAAAATTGTTTTAAAGGATACAGACTTCAATTTGGGGATATATTGTGATGTATTTAGTCATCTCCCTACTGATGTTTCCTGAAGTCTCCTCTTTTTTCATTGTTGTTATTAAAACAGTGCTGCACTAGACATCAGAGTAGACATCTTTGTGAGTATTTCTGTAGGATACGTTCCTGAAAGTAGAATGACCAGGTCAAAAGTTAGATAAGCATTTTAAATTTCGGTAACTCTCACCAAATTGCCTTCAGTAATTTGTGTTTCTACCAAAATAGTACCTTTGCACCTGTTTCCTGAAATGCTCTTCGACATGTGACCTATCAGTGTTTTGAAATTTTGCTAATTTGACTAGAAGCAAAATCTTAGCTGTTGTTTTACTTTGTACAGAAGTAGCACAGCTTAGTGCCTAACAGTGTAGCTCTGAGCTGACAGGCAGGGCTGAATTCTGATCCCATCATATCTTGTTGGGGTTTTTTTTACTTTAAAAAAATTTAAGGGGCGCCTGGGTGGCGCAGTCGGTTGGGCGTCCGACTTCAGCCAGGTCACGATCTCGCGGTCCGGGAGTTCGAGCCCCGCGTCGGGCTCTGGGCTGATGGCTCAAAGCCTGGAGCCTGTTTCCGATTCTGTGTCTCCCTCTCTCTCTGCCCCTCCCCCGTTCATGCTCTGTCTCTCTCTGTCCCAAAAATAAATAAACGTTGGGAAAAAAAATGTTAATATATTTTTTAAATGTTTATGTATTTTTGAGAGAGAGAGAGCACACGAGTGGGGCAGGAGCAGAGAAAGCAGACAGAGGATCCGAAGCAGGCTCCATGATGACAGCAGCGAGCCCATATGGGGCTCAGACTCACAAACCATGAGATCATGACCTGAAACCGAAGTCAGATGCTTAACTGACAGAGCTACCCAGGCACCCCCATCATATCTTGTTTTGTGAGCTTAGGGAAGATGCTTCTCTGTGCCTTAGTTTCCTCATGTTGTAAAATGAGGATAGTGATATTTTCCTTATAGTGTGGGGATGAAGTGTTTGGCACATTTATGCACTCAGAAATATTACGTAGCATTGTTGCTGTTGTTCTCTGACTGCTAATGAGATTTCATTTCTGGTCTGCCCCTTTCCACTCCAGTGCCTGTTTACACGCTGCCTTCCTTGCTTGCTCTGTTCTGAGTCTCCCAGCAGGCTTAGGTTGTCGTCGTTTCACAGGTAAGAAACCAAAAGGTGGCGGACACTGAGTAACAAAGCCGCGGAAACAGATGGCTCACAGGGGCCCTGCAGGAGGTGTATGGGCTGATCCGTGAGGAACTTACTTTGGTATTGGCCATTTCTTTGTTAGTCATTTTTATAATACATGCTGGTGTATCAAACTGAACACGAACATATAAAATGAGAATTTTCTTTCCTACCCATGCCCATTCTCGTTTCCCAAAGGAAACAAATTTTGTAATAACTTACCTACAATATCTATATGTCTATTACACTCTTTTTTTTTTTTTTAATTTTTTTTTTTCAACGTTTATTTATTTTTGGGACAGAGAGAGACAGAGCATGAACGGGGGAGGGGCAGAGAGAGAGGGAGACACAAAATCGGAAGCAGGCTCCAGGCTCCGAGCCATCAGCCCAGAGCCCGACGCGGGGCTCGAACTCACAGACCGCGAGATCATGACCTGGCTGAAGTCGGACGCTTAACCGACTGCGCCACCCAGGCGCCCCTATTACACTCTTAAAACAAGAAATACATGTATATATATACACATGTGCATATATATTAACTAATAAATCAGCTAATATGGATCTTCCTCATTATTTTTAAAAATATTTATTCATTTTTGGGGCACCTGGACGGCTCAATCGGTTAGGTGTCCAACTTCGGCTAAAGTCATGATCTCATGGTTCATGAGTTCGAGCCCCACATCAGGCTCTGTGCTGCCAGCTCGAAGCCTGGAGTCTGCTTCAGATTCTGTGTCTCCCTCTCTCTCTGCCCCACTCAAGCTTGCACTCTCTCTGTCTCTTAAAAATGAATAAACGTTAAAAAAAATTTTTTTTTAATTTATTCATTTTCAAGAGAGCAAGAGATCATGAGCAGGGGAGGGGCAGAGAGAGAGATGGAGATAGAGAATCGCAAGCAGGCCCTGCATTGTCAGCACAGAACCCAACGCTGGGCTCGAACCCACAAACCAGGAGATCAGGACCTAAGCTGAAATCATCGGACGCCTAGCCAACTGAGCCACCCAGGGCCCCATCTTCCTCATTATATTTAATGACGAGGTAGTATTCCATGTATGGATGATTGTAATATGGTCAGGGCCCTATAGAAGAGGATCGTTGTTTTGGTTCATTTTTCTTCACATCTTTGTACATTAAAAAGTAGAAAAGGGCACCAGGGTGGTTAAGTGTTTCACTCTTGATTTTGGCTCGGGTCACCTCATGGAGATTGAGATGCGTTGTGCTTGGCACTGACAGGGTGGAACCTGCTTGGGATTCTTTCTCCACTTCTCTCTGCCCCTCTGCCCCCCTCAAAGTAAATAAAGAAATTTTAAAAAAAGGTTTTTTTTTCTTTTTTTAACGTTTTTTATTTATTTTTGAGACAGAGACAGAGCATGAACAGGGGAGGGGCAGAGAGAGAGGGAAACACAGAATCGGAAGCAGGCTCCAGGCTCTGAGCCATCAGCCCAGAGCCCGACGCGGGGCTCAAACTCACGGACCGCGAGATCGTGACCTGGGCCGAAGTCGGATGCTTAACCGACTGAGCCACCCAGGCGCCCCAAGAAACTTTAAAAAAAGCATTAAAGAAATGACTTGAGAGCTAGAATCCTAAGAATGTGTGTTTGCTGAAGCAAAAGCTTTTCGAATGATTACATTTCTTTTGCTTTTGAGAGAGGAGCTGACAAAGCCCCTGGGCTACCTGACTCTGCCCCTTACTGGACACGAATGAGGAACTCGGGCCCCAGCCCGGAATCACCCTGGTTGTGGTTGTCTCTGCTCCTGTGTTTACTTTCTTATTGGGGTCTGAATTTTTTAAACTAGCTGCAAATTTGACTATTTTGCACTCCACTGGCTCTATTCAAATTAAGAGGGCCTTCTTACTTTGTAAGCAAATGTGGATTTGTGTCCCACTGCCAGACAGTAATGCGGAAGGAATGGCCTTACTGGGAGTTGATCTGTGGCTATGTCCTTGGTGTCCCTTTAGTTGGCAGCAGCAGTTTCAGACCAACTAATTTCCTGGTTATCAAGATTTCATAAATCCTGGGGCTATAATCTCATCAGTATGCATAGTTTAGTGATTACAGCTTTCTTCCTGGAACTTGAACTCATTGGAGGCCCTTGAGAGGATTGGGCTGTGTTACAGAATCAAAGGTAGAGTTTGTCACTG